TATATATATATACATACCTAATATTTAAATGTTTATATTTATTTATATGTACTGGTTTTTAAACCACAAAAAAAAATCATAATTATTAATTTAAATAAAATGCATCATTTCATGTATACTGCTTGATGTAATTTAGACAGTGCAGTGGCATGAAAAAACATAAAATTTCACACATTTGATATATAAATATATAAGAAATATTAATATTTATAATATGTAAAAATGAAGGGTTTGAATTAGCCATCTAAGTGGCATGTTACAAGTTTTCCAGCTATGCCTTGAACAAGTATATCATTAGGGAAATAATTAAAATTGGACAATGGAGCTATACCACCTCCCACCTGGAAATATTCAATTCAAAACATAAATACAAAAATGGAAATCAATTCATGCTGTGCATTGCTAATGGAAAAATAATTTTTAATTATTATTATTATTATTATATTATTATTTATTATTATTATTATTATTATTTAGCAAGTATTGAGAAAGCAATGATTGATGACAAATGTTAAAAGTTAGATAAAGATGAGAGGTTGAATTTATTATTCTTCTAATAGGAGGAGAGACTGAGCAACCAATAATATAAATATCTAACATCAATCTCTAAAGAAGAATAAAGGGAAACATTAGCCCTAATTGAACTTAGCAATATGTTCGATCATTCTTCCGAAACTTGGAGGATGAATTTTGATTGTTGTTTGCCGATCAAATTCGAGCCACGCTTGAAAAGAAACAATGAAAGACGAGCAACAACTGATGATGGTCAACATCGATATCTTTGATGGGCGACATCGCACATGCAACTAGGGTTGTTAATGAATCAATGCACTCGATAAACAACTTGAACTCGACTCAATTAAGACTCGATCATGTTCGTTCAAATTAGTAAATAAACAAGGTTGAATAATTTTTAAAAACTCGAAGTTTAAACGAACTAAACAAGACATGGTCGAACTTGTTTTTTTATGTTCACGAACAAACTCGTTCAACAACTTGTTAAATACTCGATAGTAAGCTCGATAGTAGCTCATATTATATATGTGATATGTTATTTAAAATAAATTTAATTAGTTAAAATTTATTTAATTATAGATTTAATAGTAATATATTATTATATCAATAATATTTTTAGTTTAATTATTAATTATATATTTATTTTATTAATAAATGAATAATAATTTAGAATGAAATATTTACGGTTAAAAAAAGTTATAGAAAAATTTTCTTATAGAATTTTTTTAACCTTGAATGTAATAAGTTCATTTCTTATAATCTGATACCAATAATATTAATATGGATTGTCTTATTACTATTATTTTCTTATTTATATGATTAAGTAAATGATCATCCCTATCACTGTTAGGATCAATTTAATTCTTCCACTTATAAAATTTGAACTAATGTACTTCTATCAATAAGAATCATGTAGTTAAATAATATTATTAAAAAATTTTAGAGTTCATAATCAACAAATCAACTGCGATTAGAATAACAAAATTGTTTATTAAACTTTTTTATATGAAAATCTAAATCCTTATGTAAAATTTTAGCTCGTTTATTAGCACTTTTAAAAATTTGTTCACTTGTCATAAATAAATCAAGTTCAAACATTGAAAAAGTAAAGCAAATCAAGCTTGAACAATGTATGGAAGCTCGACACAAGCTCAAACCAAACATCAACAACTTATATCAAGCCAAGTCCGAATAATGATATACTCGGCTCGGCTCAGCTCAGTTCGATTACAACACCCTACTAACAACAACTATCATTGATAAGTTTGAATCCATGATTGGCTATGAATGGTGGTTGAAAAGTATCGACAAGCAATGATCATCAATTAGCAACACTTGTTTGAGGAGAATGAAATTAATTGACGACCAACAATATAGATGCTAACCATAAATAGAGCTGTTAAATTATCTTGAATACTAGTTTTCTTCCCTGGAATGTGTATCAACGCATCACATTTGTATATTTCAATATAAGCATGCGCTTCTACAAGAATTAGAGCTAATCCTTAGGACGATCCAATTAAATTCTCAATGCTTTGAGAAACTCATAATTAGGTGGTCTCCAACTCAGAAATCTATGAGAACTTTTCAATTATGCCTACGGGCCTTTGATTTAGGTTCATTGAAATTCGAATTCATATGATCTCAGTAAATAATAGATTTAACCCATCAAATATTGTAAAATCCAGAGCTACAGATACTTCTGGAGCGCTAATTGGTTTTAGAATCTAGCGTTCCTTGATCTTGGCTACATTATAGATCACATATGGTTATTGGTCGCTTGATGTCATCATTCTTCGGTCCCATGTCATCATCCAATATAAGTTGGCACTTTGATTTCAGAGTTGACCAAACCCAGGATAGAGAAAGAAAATATTATTATTCAAAAAGTAAATAGGATTACAAACAAAGACACGACACGGCTCAACTAAAGCTTAGGTTGAGGGAGGTGCCACGGTTTACGGAGCACAAGCTCACATGGAAGTGGGGGAATGGTCGGGAGGCAACAAGGGACGGTTGCGGTTAGCTGTCGGATCATGGCAGATGGTAGGCGGTGCAGGGTATGGTGAGATTGCATCAGGGAAGTTGTGACAAGGCGTTGGATAGGTCAACTAGGCTCACAACGAGCAGAAGAGTTGTCGGGCTGCGGCAACGTTGAACGTCTAGACAGCAATATGACAACAAAGGAAGGGACTGTAGGGTCGGGACAATGATGTTGGATGGCGGGACGGGTAGAATATCAAAAGGTAGGAGTGGAGGGTTGCGACAGCGAAAGTACAGATCTGAGACAGCAAAAGCAACGAAGCAAGTGACTGCGCCCGCGAGGGGCAACGAAGGGGAAGGGCAGTGGACTGTGGGTGGCAAAGGGGAGGGCTGCTTGGAGATTGCGACAGTGAGAGGGATGGTTGGAAATGTTGCAGAGGAGTTGGGTAAGGATAAATATCCCCGCGGGATCGAGCTAGAGCCAGAGCACCACTCGAACCTTTGTAGACGGTCACCACTTTTGAC